AAGAAAGAAAGAAAGAAAGAAAGAGAAGGAAGGAAAGAAGGGAGGAAGAACTACAGCGTCAGAGAGAGAGAAAGATAGAGGTAAAGAATAAGTGGGAGTAAATGTATTAGGTGAAACAAAGAAAGAAAAGAACTACAGTGTGAGAAATAAAGAAAAAAGAAGAAAAGAGGAATACAAAAGAGAAAGAGAGAGTGATAAAGAGAGAGAAATAAAGAATGAGTGGGATTTAATTAATTAGGGAAAAGAAAGAAAGAAAGAAAGAAAGAAATAAATGACTATCGTTATTTAAAAACTTTACCTTAATATGGCGTCGACTGCAGGCACGTGAGGCTCGAATTCGTTACACTACGAGTTGGTCGATAAGCTCTCGCTCCCCACTGCGCTACAGTAGACGCCCTAAGGAAAACTACCCCCCAGTCATGTAATTAAAACAACTGGTACTATTCCTACTGCAATTACCATATACTGACACTAAGAAGAAATCATAGATTTCTATCACTGCTACGACTGCTACTCTTCCGCTTCTCACTAATCTCTCTCTTTCTCTTCCATTAGACGCTACAGCTGATTTTGTTATTACAGCTTTGATTAATCTCAAGCCTTACAGGAGCGTAAAATTTATCGTAACAGAGCAGTAGCGGGGGTGGCGGGGCGTCGGTGGTTGGTGCTTTGGTGACTTTGGGTGGGATGTCGTTTGCGATTAGACAAAGGAGAAGAGTTCGGCCGAAGATTGATAGGGAAAATGTGGAAGTTAACCAGGGTTAGGTGGAAGGGCAAGAAAAGAAGGAAAGAACGAGGCAATGATTGAGAAAAGAGGAATCAGAAAAGAAAGAAAGAAAGAAAGAAAGAAAGAAAGAAAGAAAGAAAGAAAGAGAAATCGAACAAACAAGAAAAAGGAAAACTAATTTAGAGAAGGGAAATAGTCAAAAAAAATGAAAAGGATAAGAGAAAAGAAAGCGGAGGAAAGAGAAAGAGTAGTGACGAAAAGAAGGGAAGAGAAAATAAAAAAAAAGAGAAAGTATAAGAAGAAAGAAGAAGGAATGAATTAAATGAGAAAAAGAAAGAGAGAAAGCAATGAAAGCAAGAGAAAAATGAAAAATAATGAAAGAAAAAAGGAGAAAAAGTTGTAACATAAAGGAAGTGTATTTACGAACGCTTAGAAAAGAATGTGAAAATCAGAAACAGAATGAAAGAGATGGAAAGTGAGAATAAGACAGAATTAAGGAGAGTGATAGTGAAAGGACGAGATGGAATGAAACAGAGAGAAACTGAGAGTACGAGAAGGAATGAAAGAGAGAAAAAGTGAGAGGAGGAGACGGAATGAAAAAGAGAGAAAGTGAGAGTAGAAGGAAAGAGAGTGATAATGAGAGTACAAGATGGGACGAAAGAGAGCAAATATAAAAGTACGAGACGGAATGAAAGAGAGCGAAAGTGAGAGTACGATATGGGATGAGGGAGGATGTGAGAACACAAGAGGGAATGAAAGAGAGAAAAGTGAGGGTACGAGACAGAATGAAAGAGAGAGAAAGCGAGTATACAAGAAGGAATGAAAGAGAGCGAAAGTGAGAGTACGATATGGGATGAGAGAGAAAGTGAGAACACAAGAAGGAATGAAAGAGAGAAAAAAATGAGAGTACAAGGTGGAACAGAGAGAGTAAATAAAAAGAGGATAACGAATAAATGAAGAAGGGAAGAGTATTGAATTAATGAAAGAGAAATTTTAAAATAGAAGAAAAAAGAAAAATGAAGGAAATTAAATAATGAGAAATAAAATGTACAAACCCGAAATGAAAATCAATGAATCAATAAGTGGAGGAAAAATCGAAGCAAAAGTAAACACAAAAGGTAAGAAAAGGAAAGAAGGAAAAGGAAGAAGAAAAAGTCAAGGGAGGACAACGGATGAAACCTGCAATAAAATCAAGGAAAGGAAACAAAAGATGAAAGTTAATGGGGATAAAAAGAAGAAAGAGACGAAGGAAATACCAAATGCGAAGAAAAACTAACATCAAAACAAGAAAGGGAAAAAATAAGAGGTAGAAAGAATATTTTTAAAAAAAAGTTTAACAAATACGCGAAAAATAAAGAAAAGAAGGAAAGAAACAAAGAAACAAAGAAAGAAATTCTCTGAAATGAAGGAACACAAATTCGGAATCATGCACAACGAATATAATGAATTTTTAACAGAAAGAAAAAATATAAAAATAAAAAAACGAAAGTCGAAAGAAAGAAGCGATCGTGAAACAGACGTTTGAATGTGAATCTCAAAAAAATGGCTGCCAGAATTAATTAAGAAAAACGAGCTCCCCCAATACAAACACTTAAGAAATTGAGATATCTTTGCAGTAAAAAGATTAATACTGCCAATAGAGAAAATAAATGCTGTTAACATGAGAGAGACGGTCTTTAGGGTTTTGTAACGTGCCGATTGAAATTTAGAGCGGCTATTTTCGCCAAGGAAAACGATCAAAAGCAGTTGTCTTGACACATTAATTTGTAATTTGTCATTGCAGTCCAGTTTTTGTTACGTACATCTACATGTACGGTAACTCGATATCGTCCGTTAGTAATCTGATTGTTAAATAAGCTGTTGTCATCAGAAAACGAAAACAAAGTACTAAAAATAAAAGAATAAAAAAAATGGGACAGTTGTTAATAGACTGTAAAATGACAAGGAGGAGGGGGGTGTAGCTTCGAAAGCGTCCCTCTTTGCGGATAATATAATCTGTTGCGTCATCAGAGTTGTTTTGACTTGAAAGGACACGCTAAATCAGTATGATTTCTGATCTTCGAAAAGGGGTGGATTCATACCTTTCCATAAGGGTATTTGCGCGTAAGTGAATATAACGAACCCAACCAGAATTGGAACTCGGCTCTCCGATTAACAATCCCGAGCCATTATCCATTACACCACCTACACATCCAGGCTTATAGCTACTGTTGTTCCAAAACGGTCACCCATCTAAGTACTAGTCAGGCTTGATCGTACAGGAACCGGTGTTTCAACGTGATTTGGCCGTAAGCCTTGATTTTATTATAGAAAACAATGCGTACAGTAGAGAAATGCACCTTAAAAACCTGCATTAAATGACCCAATGGCTTGTTATGCCATACAACAAACTTTAACAAAACCAAACACCTTAAATTATTAAATTATTTTACGATATAAATGCACTTCAAACGATTTAAGAACAGAAATAAAAATGGCGAAAGTCTTACGGCCATATCACGTTGAAACACATCACGTTCCCGGACGATCACCGAAGTTAAGCAACGTTGAACCTGGTTAGTACCTAGATGGGTGACCGTTTTAAAGTAACATGATGTGCGTGTGACTAGGAATTGTTAATCGGAGAGATGAGTTCTAATTCCAATTTCTTATATTCATTTACGTGCATATACCCTTGGCAAATGTATGAATCCACATTTTCTCCCCTAGCTATAGATTAATCAGCGAGACTTGTGTTACTAAATCATTGTTGTCCCCAACACATACACACACCAAAAAAATCTAAAATGAATTCTGGATTTAACTAAGCGGCAAAGGTTTGATAAACCGTAAAAAAAGAATCAATTAAGCAATGAAACAAGAAAATGAGCTGTCAAGAATGAAGGTCAGTATCAATGATTTAGGACATTGATTTGCAAGTATAACAAATCAATCAATGCATTATTGGTTAATAAGGTCCAGGACTTCCCCTATCTAGGCGCTATCATATCTTCTGGAAGAACTCTGGACATAGACATAAATAGATTGACCCAAGATTAATCAGGCCTTTTGCAGACGACTCAAATGTATCTGGGAAAGCATAACAAAACCTAACGTAAAATAAGAAAGCGACAGTTAAGAGAAAACAGCATGCTACCCACCATTCTATACGGTACCGAATCCTGGGTCGTATACTGATGCCACCGGAGCCTATTAGATTTCTTCCATCAGAGTTGAATTACAACTATTCTAAAAGTACATCGTAATGACTTCACTTATTAAGGGACTCGGCTATTTATCCATGTTGAAGCTACCTGGCGGTTAATGCTTAATGGGCATTCGAACTTTGTTACAGACGTATGTCGGGTGTTATATATACAAATATAAGAGAAAGAACACACACACACACACACACACACACACACACACATATATATATATATATATATATATATATATATATATATATATATATATATATATATATATATATGATATATCCGTATTTTACGTATGAGTGGCCAGCAAGGAGTCCTGACTTAACACCCTACTGTACAAAATCAAGACCTTGGAAGACCTTGAAGGTCGAATATAAGAAGTTATGTCTTCCATACCACAAGACTATTCCTGGGAGGCTTGAGAAGCTAGTAGCGAAATCTGCTGCCCATATCGAATTCTAAATAAAGTCTCGTGCTAAACGCTTTCCTCCCATTTACATTTCAGGTAAAAATTATAGTTAATAAATAAGTATTTTAAAGTGGGGAGTTACTTTTCAATCACTCTGTAAATATATATATATATGTCTGTGTGTGTGTGTGTGTGTGTGTGTGTGTGTTTATAGAATTAATATAAGTAAAAGTTTTGTCACTTAGCTGACTGATGTTACCTTCAGCATCCCGACTCCAGAGTTTCGAAGACGGACCCGTCCGTTCGCTCGTCAGGGAGTATCAACAACTGACTGCTTATACTTCTCGAATAGATATATATATATATATGTGTGTGTGTGTGTGTGTGTGTGTGTGTGTGTGTGTGCAAAGAAATTTCTATGACCTTTCGTAGATGTGTTCAAATTAACAAAGATTCCGGACAGTCAGTTTCCGGAAAATTTCCTTTAAATCTTTCCCTTAAAATTATTATTGTCTCATATTTTTTATTTTTTTATTTTTCATGAATTTCATTGTTGGTAATACGTTTCTTGATTTCAAGATGGAGGGAAATAGGGTTGTCTGCTACATTTAATGGAGGCAGACATAATGCAAATGCCACGTCACCTGGTGGTGTCAGATAGAACTGAATGCTGTTGCGTAATATCGGTCCGGGAACAGATCACAATATTCCTGTACATATGTTATTTGTAGCCCACTTGGATTTATCCGTTTGCAATTTTGATTCTCGCATTGACTGAACAGTCACGTGTCCATTGTCGTCATGTTGGCGTTCAGGACGAGTTCGGACCGTCAAACAAAAATGGCTCGAACACAACTCTGATTCGTCCATCCCAAGCAATTTTGTTCTGTCTTCCTTTCCTATTTCTCGAGTTATTTTCTCTCCATTTTTTTTTTCTTTTCTGTTTTTTATTTTCTTTTTTCTCCATTATTCCTCTCTTTTTAATTTCTGTCGCCGTCATTTTGGTGTATAACATTTTATATTTTGGCTTTTGCATTCATCACTCTCTATTTATCTCTTTGTTTCTCTCTTGTTATGTCTTTTCTTTTCATCTTTTACGTTCGCTCTCTTTTTTGTTTCTTCTTTATCTGTTGGTTTCTCTCTTTGCTTCCTCCCTCCATTCTTTCCTTCCTTCCTACCTCCCTCCCTTCCTTCTTGTCTTCCTTCCTTCCTACCTTCCTCCCTCCCTTCCTTCCTCATTTCCTTCCTTCCTTCCTTCCTTCCTTCCTACCTTCCTCCCTCCTTTCCTTCCTTCCTTCCTTCCTTCCTTCCTTCCTTCCTTCCTTCCTTTCTTCCTTCTTTCCTTCCTTCCTTCCTTCCTTCCTTCCTTTTTCTACCTTCCTCCATCCCTTCCTTCCTTCCTTCCTTCCTTCCTTCCTTCCTTCCTTCCTTCCTTCCTTCCTTTCAGTATAATTTGCTTCTTTCTTGTTTATTTTATTTTATGCTCCATTTCTTGCTTTTTTGTGATTTCTCTTTCTTGCTTTTTTTAATTTCTTCTTTTACTTTCTTTCCTTCTTTCTTTCGAAAACTCTTCCTTGCTGTTTTTATTGCTTCCTCTCTTGTTTATTTTCTTTCTTTCCTTCTTTCTTGATTCCTTTCTTTCTTCGATTTTTTACGCTTTCTTTCTTTCTTTCTTTCTTTCTTTCTTTCTTTCTTTCTTTCTTTCTTTCTTTCTTTCTACAACTCTCCCTTGCTGTTTTTCTTGCTTCCTTTCTTGTTTATTTTCTTTCTTTATTTATTTCTTGTTTGCTTTCTTTCTTGTTTTATTTCGTCTTTGTTTTATTACTTAATGGATTCCTATTCATCGTCTTCAAGATGCCTCCTTTCTAAACCTTTTAAATCATTTTCGCTGTCTTCCTTGCTTGTCTGTCTACTTTTTCTTGATATAAATTTGTTTTTCCTTTGCCTTTTCATTTATTCTCTTTCTTTCTTTTACCTTTTCTATCCTTTTTTATTTTTCTTCCTTTCTTTCTTTCTTTCTTTCTTTCTTCCTTTCTTTCTTTCTTTCTTTATTTCTTCTCTCCTACGTTTTCATATTTTAGCCACCATATTTCATAACTTCTTGTTTTTAACTTTTATTTTATTTTTTCTCCATAAATTTAATACGTTTTCTTTTTTCATTTTGTTTTCTCATTTACTCTCTCTCTTCTTTTTCTTCTTCTTTCTTTTTTCCTTTTAACCTGAATTCTTCTTCTTCTACTTCTTAAATCTTCCATAACATTTGCGCATATTATTTTACAAGCAGACGACAATGCGAGAGGATCTAATGTGATGGAATCGTGGCTGGGCGTAAAAAATGTAAGACAATACTAACGAAGACGCCGTTTAAGAAGGTCGTGGCAGCCGACATTCGAGTAGAAACTCTTTGTCACGCCGTCTTGATTACCTTATTAATCTGTTTCTGTTTTCCATGTTACTAATTTGTTTTATCACCACAAATTATTTCATATTTTTTTTTATTCATTTTCCTGATTGACATCTGCTACCTAGTAGTAGATTACGTCCCACGTACTAATTTACATAACAAAATACCAACATTCTCGGAGACGCAAAGTTGCGAAGGTGCACAACGAATGCAAACAGAGACAACAGACTGAACAAACCGATTTTGATTGTGGAATTGGCACGAAAGCCCTCGAGAAATGCAAGAATACAGTCCTCTTTGCACTCTTTCCTATCGACAAATATCTTGACAAAACCACTTGTTACTGGTATGTCCCAACATGACGTAGTGGTTGAGAGATCAGCTGTACATTCTCTGTGTCTATCCATTTTCTCTCTCTATCTCTCGCTCTCTCTCAATACCCACTCTTTACCTTCTCTCTCTCTCTCTCTCAATACCCACTCTTTACCTTCTCTCTCTCTCTCTCTCTGTCCATTCTCCATCTCTCTATTCATTTTCTCATTCCTTTCTCAATACTCATTCTATCTCGATTCATTCTCTCCATATAGCCCTTCTCTCTCTATCGATTCTCCCTCCTACTACATCCCATCTCCACTCTCACTCTCTACTCATTATCTCTTTCTCTCTCTATATATATATCCATTCTCTCACTCTCTAACCATTCGCTATACACACACACACATACACACATATATATATATATTCTCTCAGTACTCATTCTCTGTCTATTCATTCTCTCTTCCTCTCGCTCTAAACAAACCATAAACTCTATCACAAACCATTCTCCCTCTAATGATTTTCTCTCTACGCATAATTTCTCTCTCTGTCTTCATTATTTCTTGCCATCCATTCACTCTCTACCCATTCTCTCTCTCTCTCTCTCCCTCTGTACACATTCTCTTCCATAAACCATTCTATATCTATATTCATTCTCTTTATCCTCATTGACTCTCTATACCCATCCTCCCTCTATTCATTCTCTCTCTCTCTCTCTCTCTACATACACACATTTATATCCATTCTCTCTTTCTCTACTCATTCTCTCTCTACACAGAACTTCTATCTATATCCATTTTCTCTCTCTAGATTATCGACTCCTACTCTCCAACTATTTTCTCCGACTACTCATTCCCTCTCTCTACACATTCTCCTTTTATATCCACTTTCTCTATCTTTCTCTTTCTCTCTCTCTCTCTCTCTATATATATATATATATATATATATATATATATATATATATATATATACTCATTCTCTATATATACATTCTATCTCTATCCATTTCTCCAGCCATTCCCTCTCTCTCTGTCTCTCTATCCATTCCGTGTCTTGAATCAGTCTGGCTACATATCCATTCTATCTCTTTCTCACTTGTTTCTGTCTCCTTCCCTCTTTCTATTGTCATCTACTCATTCTCTCTCTCTCTCTCTCTCTCTCGCTCACTTTATATAAAGAAATTATAGGTAGTAATCACATTTCAGGGGACACAGTAATCCGTAATAAACCAACAACAAAAACAACAGGATTTTTCCAACCATGTAACAACAAAAGGAGCTTATACTACAACCACATTAGACACACGAAATCATTCACTAGCCCAGTCACTAAATCTACTTTCAAAATCTACCACGACTCTAACTGTAGAAGTCAAAACATAATTTACCTCCTAGAATGCACACTATGCCAGAAACAATATGTAGGAAAATCTGAATGGCCCTTTCACTACAGAATTAATAATTATCGTAAGCGAATTAAGTCGACTCCCCATGAAAAATTATTAACTGTAGAACAACATTTCCGCCTGGAAAAACACGATTTCAAAACCCATGCCAAATTCACTATAATTGAGAGAATAGAAAAGTTCAGAGCAGATAACATTAGAAAGATTTTAGAAGGACATGAAAATAAGTGGATACAACGTTTAAAAACGCACTATCTAGACGGGCTAAATCAAAATTTTAACAATATAGATAGTATTAATATATAACTCCACAAATCAGAGCCTACCCATATTTCTCACCCACACAAGACAGACATGCTTACGGAGGTGTGGAGGCCTCACACTTATACACACACACGAATATACACACTTGCACACATCGTACTCACTCACTCCCTAATGAGCCAAATGATAACACACACCCATAGTAATATACACGCTTACACACATCATACTCACTCACTCCCAGAGAACCAAATAATACATACTTAACAGAGACACATCCCCTTTCCAGGAACCAATAAAACTGTCAAAATGACCAAGGGAATTCAGAGCAGCATTAATCCGTCCAGCTCTTAACTTAAATAACAACTTAAAAGTGACAGTTTGACCAACACAAGGACTGACTAAAATTCATGCTAAAAAATTAAAAAAACAAAACAAATGAAAACTACAGACAAAAGTTCATTTTATCTATGAAGACATTAATTTCTGTTGTTGACAGCTACCAACAAGCATATTTTTTTTCTCCTAATGATGGCCTTGTTGGCCGAAACTAGTCGAGGAATCTAAATGAAATAATAATAAAAACGAAAGAATATTAATATACAACACAGTGTGTCTGAAGATTTTAATTTTTTAATATTTTTTATTGTTCAATATATATATATATATATATATATATATATATATATATATATATATCCGTTTTCGCTCACTACTCATTATCTCTCTCTGTCTCTCTGTCCACCCCCTTTCTTTCTCTGTAGCCATACTTTCTCTCAATTCCTTCTCTCTATATATAGATTCTCTCTCTGTCTGTTGTCACTTTCTCGCTATCCATTCTTTCTTTACTCATTGATCTCTATATATGCTTTCTCTCTCTCTCTCTACTCATTCTCTCACTCTATCTTTCTCCATTCATTCTATTTTTTCTCTCTACTCATTCTCTCTTTATCAATCCTCTCTCTCTGTTAATTTTCTCTCTATCCAGTCTCTCTCCCCATAGTACAAATTCCATTTGATTTATATAACTAAACAGATGAAATTGAGATTATAAACAAGTGACTCGTGAAAAGAAAATTAAATTCTTCTGTATTGAATGTAGACAGAAATCTACAACTACCTCTTTTGTCTGTCTCTATCTCTTCCTTTCTCCTGCACGTGCGCTATCATTTCCTCTCTCTGTTCCTCTCTCCTGCGCGTACTCTATCTTTTTTCCCCCTCTCACTCTCTTTCTGTCTCTGTTCCTCTTTTTCGCGCGTTCTCTTTCTCCTTTCTCTCTCTCTCTCTCTGTCTACTCCACTCTCTTGCCCGTAGCCTCTTTTTCTCTCTCTTCTTATTCCACTCACCCAAGCGTAGTCTTTTTCTTTCTCGCTCTTTTCTCTCTTCTCTCTCTCCCTCTCTCTCTCTTTCAGTCGTGTCACTTCTTATTAGATTTAACTATTCAAGACATATATATATATATATATATATATATATATATATATATATATATATATATATATATCGCTTTGATGCCGATATGTTTCTGCAAATCACCGAATCGATTTCTATATGCGTCAATATGACTGGATGCATTTGTCAAAGGTTTTAGATTTATGGCGAGCAAACATGTCGCCTGAGACAAGTTCTACAATGGAGTGAATTCGTCCATTATTGGAAGATCCACACGTCTGATGAGGAACAACAACAACAACAACAAAACAGTTTATTTTACTTAAAAAAATCAAATATATACAAGTGAAAACTACAAAGACCATGTAAAAGTAATGTTTATTCTCCCTTATTGGAATTTCCGATTTTCGAAAAAATTGTCACGATCATTTCATCACGGAAAATTCCGTTGACATAACAACGCTACGCACACTTGCTTTAAGTGACCTCACAATATTTTCCATATAATGTTCTAGTATTTTTGCGCTAAATTTGATTTAGGAAATGAGTGTGTTATACGATATAATAAACGTCAATGGGAAAACAAAGATAAGTCAACTAGTGTATGACGCTTCTAAGACAAGATGTCTTTGTAATTACAATGCTCACTATTAAAAATGGATCATTAATATGAACAAAAGAAGTTAAGAAGTTATTAACGTATTTTAGGAATTTTCTAAAAATTCAGAATGCGGGTTTAATAAATACTA